GACCCCACCTTGATGTTTCAGGACCCCACTTTGGGTCCCGACCCCAACTTTGGGAAACACTGGTTTAATGAATAATGTTTGGTCATATAACGTACATGATGGATGTGAAGTGTTCACAATGTGTTCCTGGATGTTTGGGTTGATGTGAAGGACCGTTACAGCGTGCTGTAGCATTACCATGGTGTACAGTATGGTGTCACCAGACCAGTTTTTGTCAATGTGCCTGACGTACTGCAGTGAATCTGTGATATTCATCAGCATCTTACTGTGTCAGTTATTCCATTAGTACTATTCCAACTTTTAGTCTTCTGTAAGCGTCTAGCAACAGTTTCACCCACCATCTTTTCAGTCTTGGTCTTTGTGCTGGTGCTCTCCGTTTCTCTACTCTGGCAGATCTCACAGTGGCTGTTTATCTTTTGTTCTCCTTAACTTTAGTTAAAGTCCAAACCAAACCCACAGCAAGAACTCAGACATCTTCCAGGTCCATGTTTTAGAATGAAGGACAGACAGTGGGGCAGTTGTAGGACAGTCGTCTTGGGACCAGTAAACACATGTTGCAGTGTCCTTGAGTAAGATAGCTAATTCCTAATTTCTCCGGTGCTTATAYAGCTGCCTGCTGCTCCACTTGGGTTGGGTGTATCTCATGGGTCAGGTGCAGAGCACAAATTTCATCTGCATGGGAACATGCACTGAAGACAAAACTCACGACACTTACATTTATAAAATATTGCCTTTGTACAGACACACTGTGTCTGTACAAAAACACAGATACACAAATACTCAGTATGTATGCAGTAGTACGTGGCATTCCCACATGAAAATACTTAAGCATTCAAAATTACATGCATTTAAAAATACTCAAGTATTCACAAGCATATTTATAAGCATATATKTTCTATTATCAGTACAATGCTGTATTGTTTTCAGTGATTTTACAGAACCTTGTAGCTCTCAGAAACCACCTGATGTGTTGACAAGTTGAACTACTCAGCTACAAATTCACCATCTGTAAAGACTTCAGCATAAAAATGCAATAAAGCGAGTGGTGAGTTCTTAAATGCGAAAATGGAGTTTACACACAGATGACATTTGAACTGATAATAACTATTTATCAGTCCTAAAATTTAAAACATCGAGCTGAGATATGGCCATGGGTGTGCTGGTTTCTCCGCTTGAGTTTCTTTAATCATCCCCACTGCTTGGTTCTGTTTGAAATGAGCTAAACAAAAATAAATAAATAAATAAATAAATAAATAAATAAATAAATAAATAAATAAATAAAACAAAAATAAAAATCTGAATTGAAGGTGGGAGCTCAGCTCGCCACTGTTAATGAGGATGATGTAATTCCAAATCCTTCTCAGGTGTGAGTTACGACTATGATTGGTTTCCCTTGTGAGGAACATAACATGTGACCAAATGCATTTGAAGAAAAGAAAACAGCAACAGAACAAAACTATGCTGAGCCAAAAGGAAAGAGTAACTAACAAGCTTCCAAGAAATATAGTGGAGTCAAATGTACAATATTTGTCTTCGAAATGTTGTGGAGTGAAAATCACAAGTTCCTCCAAAAAAAATTACAATTACAGTAAATTAAAGTAAATATACTCAAAAAGTGTACTTAAGTACATTAGTCAAGTAAATGTACTTTGTTACTGTCCACCACTGCAGACACATATCTAAATATGCCATTGAATGCAAGATAAATGTGTAAAAATGAGATGTGTTAGATAGTTTTCTTTAACTGAAAAACACAAACAATACATAAAACTTGTTCTTCTCTGCAAAACAACTTAAAATATAAAAAAAGATCCCAAACATTAAACAAGAACCCAGCAGCTGTGCTCCAATCACAGCCACCTGATAATCTACAGTATTTTAATTAATATTTAATAAATAAATCGACTCATTATGAACAAAAACACTTTTAAAACATGAAACATACCTGTACACCTGTGGAGCTCTGGCACCTCGATGCGTCACACGTTTTTATATAGGTGCACTTATAAACAGAAAATTATTTTGCTGATTTTTAATGTCCTAATTATTCTAAATGCTACATGCCTATGGTTCAATTTGAATTCAACTTAAAGACTGAAACCAGATGAATGGTTGTTTTAAATGCAAATCAGTCTGTTTTTTATTACTTACTGTTCTAAACCTTTTTAAATAGACTTGATGTAAATATAACAGACTGTTTAGCTGTTTGCTGTTATCCTGTGGATGATTAATTATTGTGCCCACATATTCCTCATACAGGTGGTTCAAAGGAACGCATGCCTGAGAACAGCACAGCCATCTGCTGCTGGTGTTTCRATGCTGGCGTGTGGGCGTCGCTAACTAGCACGAATCAAAATGGCAATAATACCTGTAGATTTGGAGTTTATTAAATCGCAGCCGTTTGGCTTTCTATTTACACAGAAAAGGAGAATATTAAAATGTGAATGGAGRTTGTCTGTGTGCAGGAAAAGAACATCAGGTGGAGAAGTACAGTTGGTTCTTATAGGAGTAGATTTTATTATGGAGTGAAACTTAACTTCTTAAAGTCCAAAAGTTGGACTTTTTTAAATTTTTTTCTCATTTTGACAGCTTTCTCCTCAGTGTGACCCCAGCAGAAGTAAAKAGGACTCTTCAGAGGATAAATCCCCGTAAAGCTGCCGGGCCAGAGAACATCCCTGGGCAAGGCTGAGGGACTGTGCTGGCCACTTGTCTGAAGACTGCCACCATCATCCTGGTCCCAAAGAGCTCCACAGCGATGGGTCTGAACAACTATCAGCCAGTAGCCCTCGTGCTAATAGTCACGAAACACTTTGAAAGGCTGGTTAGGTCTCCATTTCAAAGCAACTATCAATGTCACTGGTGACCCACATCAATACGTGTGCAGGAAAAACCGATCCCCAGAAGATGCCGTCTCCTCTGCGGTCCACACTGCCCTCACCCACCTGGAGAGGCAGGACTCATACATCCGTATGTTCTTTGTGGACTTCACGTATGCCTTCAACACCATGATCCCCMAGACCTTGGTAAACAAACTCTTCTCACTTCAACTGAGCTCTTCCCTCTGTAATTGGGTCCTGAGCTTCCTGACCGACAGACCACAGTCTGTGAGAATCCACAACGTCTCCTCCTCCACCATCATCCTCAAYACCGGCTCCCCTCAGGGCTGTGTGCTGAGCCCCCTCCTATTCACCCTGCTCACGAATGCCTGCTCTCCCAACCATCCAGGCTGYCATATCGTAAAAGTCGCAGGCAATAGTGATTGGATKCATCACAAACCGTGATGAATCTGGCTACAGGCAGGAGGTGGAACATCTGGAGAGTTGGTGCAGAAACAACAATCTCTGCATCAACATGAAAAAGACGAAGGAGATGATTGTGGACTTCAGAAGGAGCAGAGATATCCACCCCTCCCTGCACRTCRGAAGATCGGCTGTGGAAGTASTCTCCAGCTACMGGTACCTGGGTGTGAACSTGAGCAACACTTCCAGCCTGATCAGGAAGGCACATCAGCGCCTCTACTTCCTCAGGAGGCTGAGGCGTGCCAGACTCGGGAGCTCAGCACTCATCGCCGCCTACAGATGTGCAGTGGRGAGTGTTCTGTGCTCCAGCAGCATYGTGCTCTGTTGCAGAGAGGAAAGCTCTGCAGAGGGTGGTGAAGGCTGCACAAAAAACTGTAGGAGTCAGCCTCCCCACTACCACCGACATCTTCAGCACCAGATGCAGGAAGAGGGCCGCCTGCATCAGAATGGACCACACCCACGCAGCACACACACGTTTAGTCCCGCTCCCCTCAGGGAGAAGAGTGCGAAGAATCGAATGCAAAACCACCAGACTGAGAAACAGCTTCTGTCCAGAAGCTGTAAGACTCAAAGTCATAAACACTACAGATGTTACTGCATATTTAATTCTCTTATTCTGATGTTGTTGCTCATTCTTGTTTGTTTGTTGTAACCTTCATTATTATTTATTCCTGTTATTTTACTTATTTTTCTTTTTTTATGTGGGCAACTGGGATCTTGGGTAAGAAATTTCATTCTACCTCATGTAAAACATGTTGTGAATGACAATAAAGTCTCCTCGAACCTTCAATCTTTTAGCTTGAAAAATACAAGTTTGTTTGGCTTCAGGAAACAGTATAACTAGGTTTTGATCCATTTGATAACCTTTTAAAGAATCAGAACTGATCAAAGAATGTTCCTTTTTTAAATAAATGCATTTATTCTTCTTTTAAAAGACAATACAAAATTTTATAACGGTCTCTATTTAACTTATTGTTTTTTGGTATGTATACCAAAACTGCTACTAATAGGGATCYGAACATAACATTTTTGAAGGAATAWAAACAAAATGAGTTATTTTGGGGAAAATGTGATGTCTTTGCAAAAGAGACAAACACAAAGATGCTTCATAACTTAAAAGTCATTCTGGACTTAAAAAATGTTACTTACATTGGAATATACCTCTTTAATTGTATGAACTGTCGAACGACTTTTTTAACAATCAAACAAAACAAAACAAACAAACAAACAAAAAAACCCTGACCTAAACTGCTCACAGAGAAATAAGCTTGAGCAGAGCCATTATTGCTCCTCATAATTATACCTSAGCTTTTCAGCAGGGGCTTCGCCTGGTTGAAAGCCAAACATATGTGTTGTAAAATTTCACTTTTAGATACTTCTATTGATTCTTCTAGAGGTGCTACACACTGTCAGCAGACACTTTTTTAACACAGTTTAATTGGTTTTTCCAAGTAAAGATGCTCAATGTTTCCCATTGACACCATCTTAGCAGTTCAGACATGATGTCGTTCTTAAAAACAAGTTTTGTATAATAAAACAAAAAGCTTTTGATAACACAGCTTCAGCACAGTTTTTTCCACAGTGACAAAAACTAAAACTATCCAAATGATGCAGCCAGCGTCTCACCAAGCAGCTCAAAACCTACATGAGGGGATGAGAACTGTAACATATCCTACTGTATATGAAACCAGGCCTTACAGGAGAGGTCCAGCTGGGTAAAAGAACACGATTCAGATTTGTGTGTTATCGTGCATGCTACTCCAATATTCATCTGGAAAACTGTCATCATTAAAACTAATGAGATGTTCATGCTGTCATCTACTTACCAACTTTCACAGATGAGTAAGAAACTGGCTTTATTATAATGTTTAATAATATTATTAATAATAATAATAATAATAATAATAATAATAATAATAATAATAATAATAATAATAATAATAATGTTTTTAGTTTAGTTAGTTTAGTTATATCATTCTTTTTAAATATTTGGAATAATATGAGTTGATTTGACTCATATAAATGCTGTCAGTGATTCTGTATTWTTCCAGGTGAGGAGAAAAAATAATCTGAAACCAACAGCTTGTGTCATGTCTCTGAGTATCTGTAAACAGATGTTTATGATTTTTTTTGTTGTATAAAATCCACCCTTTGTACCTGATCCTCCTCTCCTCCTCCCTCCTCGTCATACTTCAGGATGTTGTCCCTGACGTCGTCCTCGGGGTCGATCAGCAGGGGCTTCGCCTGCCGCTCCTTCTCCCTGCGCTTCATCCACACCACGAACAGCAGAACCATGCCTGCCGACAAACGAGGAAACTCTTTCTCTCACTTTTCCAAAACACTTTCAACTGTAAAGTGCTTAAACGATGACTCGGTTGGATGCCTCCTTGTGGTCGTACTCACTGAGCAGTATGATTATGCAGATGAGGATGGCTATGATGGCTCCGGTGCCGAGACCGGCAGCCGCCACGGCCCCTGTGGCGCTGCAGTCACCGTTATTGTCACAGGGACACACTTTGATTCTGATTAAAGAGCGGTTGGACAGAGGGGGGTTCCCTGAGTCTGACACAATGACTGGGATCTCGTACATGCCCGCCTCCAGGTACGGAATCCTTAGTCTGAGCTGAGCGTAGTCACCTGTAGAAGCCGTGGGCGATGACGATGATGAGAGGAGATCCGAAACAGCACAAGATGAAGGTGGGATGAGGGCACGAAGGAAGAGAAAAGGGGAAAATTAGTAAATTACTCAATGTACTGCAGAAAAATGACATGCTTTTGACAACGTTTTGTCATTAAGTGGATGTCAAGTCACTTGGAAACAAAGTGTGGAGCAATCATTTTGTCATTCACTGTCTGTAGGACAGCATTAAAGACATAAACACATACAAAACTACGGTGTGTAACCTTCAACATCTATCACTCAGTCAAGCTAAGACAAGAGCCTCAGCGGGAGACAAATCCAGGTATGTGATCAGATTTGTCCTCGAGACAACCGCTGGGATACATCCATCTGCTTGGATTAGGTGACAGATCGGCTGCTCGGGGGACTGAGAGATGAATGGACCTCATTTGTCACAAACGATGGATCGTACGTTAAATGCTAGATGGCACCGGCATTTCTCACTGTGAGCTTTCTGAGACGTTTTGTTAAACTTGGACTTTCCCCTCACAGCTAACAGCTGTCCCTGTTTCTGAGGATTAATGTCAACAGGTTCTTCAGAGGAGTTCAGGGTTTTAATCAACACAAGACGCAGAACATCCCGTCTTTCACATCTTCTAAAGCACGTGGTTTGTTTTTCAGAGACCCGATCTTTAAAAGGAGCGCATGGCATTTTATTACCGTTCAGTCTCGAAACAGTCCAGTTGCGGCGGATGCTGGCGGGGAAAGAAGGCAGCTCGAAGACAAAGGGCCCGATGTTGGGCTCGATGTCAGCGTCTGAAGCCGTGATGTTGATCCTAGAGTTGGGGCGTGCTCGCTCGCAGATCTGGGCCTCCCGGGGAATCAGGACTGGCGCGTTGTCGTTCACGTCGATCAGGTAAATCTGGAGCGTCCCTGTCCCGCTGGCTTGAGGCGAACCTGTAGGACAGAAGGGAGGACAAAGAAGATAAACAGCAGGACAGTGGTGAGACAGCAGAGTAAATGTGGGATCATTAAAAACCTTTATGTTGTACTGTTTTGGTTAAACCTTGTAAATAACATTATACACATCTCATACGATGTTGCAAGATTGAGGGTATTTTTGTGTACATAGTTTGTCATTGGGATGACTAAGCTACAACCACATCAAACTTTAGCTTAATATCAATCACTTTGATAAGGTTATGGTAATTTTTGGGTTGGCTAAGATCAGTTAGCTGTGGCCTTCATCTTGAATTAGGTCAGTTCCAAAAGTTAATCGGTTACAGTTGTACATTCATTGATATGGTTGTGGTAATGGTGAGTGGGGATGAATAAATTGGGCCCATTGTTCTTCCCCAAAAGACATTTAGTTTAATGAAACCTTTGTGTCCCTCGAATGAAAGACACAAGGTTAGAAACACTAAATGTTCTGAGCTTCTCTGGATCCATGAAGGGCTCCTCAAGGCAGTGGCCTAACCCCCAATTTACATTACTTGCGTTCCATCTCCACTCCGGTCCGACCTCCGCAGCAAACACGCACCCATTATAACCAATGAGAGTGTTTACACTGGCTGCGCACAACTGCGCAGGGCGGCGGTGAGCGGACGGCGATCTGTCAAAATTAGAACAGATCCTATTTTTGCCGGACGCGAAGCTGAGCCAGAGTCAATTTTTAAAGATTACGTCTCACCAACAGGAAAAGGCACGAGCACAACATACGTATTTTCAAAATAAGACACTATTCGGCTGAATAATTTGTTGGAATAATGTCGAAATTGCAGCTATATTAAAATTATACGGATATATTTCTACACAAATGCTGTCAGAATGTATCGCTCTGTTTGGGAAGCAGATGGAAACATGTAACATGAAGCATATGTGTACACACATGATACACGTGGATTTTATTTTGAAATCAGAAGTTTMAGAAAGCCGACAGAGAGACAGTTTCAACATAGATACCAAAAGCCTTTATATCGTTGTTTTCAGCTGTGTTTGGAGTTCGTCTTTCACAGAATTAATTATTTTTGCTGTGACTTCCACATTTTTCCCTGAATTTATCGCGCAATCTGCTTCCTGCACATCTGTCGTACCGGAGCAGAGCGGAGGTAGTGTAAACTGGGCTTGAAACGCACAGCTGCGACCTGCGCAGCGGAGCGGAGCCGCATGCAGTATAAATCCGGGGTAAGTAGTGCAAAGAGGTCTCAATGCCACTGGCATCACTCAGACCATTGTCATGGAGTCCCAACACTATGTTGTGGTGCCTGAGCAGGTTGTGACCAGTTAGGACTCCAACCAGTGTACTTAAAGTTTCCCTTGTCAGGGTGATGAGAGCTTTCTCAAACCTAAGATATGGGCCGTTTATCAGTTCCCGTGCCTGTCTACAGTCCGTCAGCTCCCTCCAGTGAATTGAATGTTGACCAGGCCTGTAGGGCAGTCCTACAGACTGTTGTTGAGATACCTACAACAGGCTCTGGTCCTTTGAAGTGGGCCTGACTGCCAGCTTTTGCAAGGTAGTCAGCTCCCTTGTTACTATTAATGTCAGTATGTCCTGGTACCCATTTAACAGTAACACTGTCATCTCTCCATAGTTGGCTGATTGCTTCAGCACACTCACAAGCTAGTAATGATGTAAACTGTTGCCCTTGGAGAGCTCTAACAGCATCTAGTGATAACTTTCTGAGAGTTTCACTAAAATCAATCCAGTGGTTTGACAGAGTTGACAACAACAGTTTAATGTCATAGTTTCAAGAAGAAGTGAAGAACTGAAATTATATGTTGCAAATTATTCTCAACAACTGCAGAAGTTTTTAACTGAATATCTCTAAAACTGGCTGAGTTAAAGCTGTTTTGTGTTTTCTGAGAGTAGTTAGCTGTGGCAGCCATTTTAAGTTGGGTTGACTCCAAAACATGATCAGTTGAAGGTGTACATCCAACGATTACATTCGGAGAGTTTTGATAAAATTCATCCAGTGGTTCATGGGACATTTTGATAAAACTACAGACAAATGAGCACATGCACATGCCGATATAAACAAAAATATGTCGCCTTTCTGCTTTCTATAAAAATAGTAAAAGGAGCCAAACAGGAGACAAAATGATGAGAGCAGCACTGAGAATGTCACTCCTTCCTTTTCAGTAACACCCTGCTGCAGCTGAGTCAATTGTGGAGCTCAGAAAATGCAATAATAAAAAGAAACAAATGGAGAAGAAAATGTTTTGTTTATTTTGTGCGTAAAAATGCCCAGACGAAATCTCGACACACAAGCTGAGCAGCATCGTCACCAAACAGGAGAAATGAGAGGAAAGATTCCTCCTCTTGCCTCTGTAATTATCCACGGTCTGAAAACTCAGGGGTGACATTCACTTTGGAGGGGACAGCGCTCACTTAAAGATTTCTGTTATCTGCACTTTGCAAAGACTCCTGGAAAACGAGCCAAACCTTTCAGCGTGAGCTCATCAGAACCAGATTGAGTTTTCTTCTTACTGAACCTTGACCAACCGTTTCTCAGGTTTTATGCGCCGGGAAAAGCTAGAACCACTTCTTGACTAAAAAGATATTTTTCCCGCTGTTTTTGTTGAATCTACTTAACACAAACAATTCTGTGGTGTTGGAAAAAAAAGTGCCTCTGGCTCATTTCCAATTGGACTGAGTTGGAAGGAGAGAAAATATGTATAAATAATCAGGCTGAACTCTGCTGTGAAGGGAATTATTTCACTCATAGACTGAAAGAAAGACCTAAACCAAACAAAACCAGCTTGTTAGAAGAGATGGAGTCCCGTTTGAAATCAAACTGTCTGACAGAATCAAAGTAAGTTTCTCTGACCTCCAATAAATTTTGTTTGAACTTGATCATATCCTGTGAAAACACACAGACTGGTAAATATTCAAATTTTCCTTCTATTTCTACAAAGTGTGTATCTTAACACTGAAGTCCACTTTTATATTTAAAGACCTAGCATTCCTTGAAGAAATGCATATCACCCATCCATTCCAGAGCTTTAAATTAATATCTTATAATAAGAGTTTGAGACATTTTAATCAAACCTTGTAAAAGTTGTTAAACTCATATAATGATCTAAAGTGATGCATTTGTGCTCAGAGCGCTACTACACCACTTTTTATCTTAMTAACTGTAGAACTGACTGAGTTAGAGTTATTTTTGTGTTGGCAGCCATCTTGAATTGAGTTAACCCCAAAAATTATTCAGTTTTAGATGTAAATGCAACAATTACTTTCTGAAATAAAGTCTGTCAAGGGGTTCATCAAATATTTCACTACCAGAGAAGTTTTAAGCACAAAGATGGCATATTGTGTATAATCTATTTACATGTTGAGGATTATACTCAGCTACTACCACAACAAAGTTTCAGTCAATTGTGTGTTTTCTAGTGTCAGTTGGCTTTTGCACAGAGGTTCTCAACTCAGGTCCCAGGACCTCCAGGGATCCGCGAGCTGTGTCTTGGGGGTCCTCAAAAATGTTCAATAAATTGTTAATTTGGATTTTATTTAAAAAATGCATATGGGGAATAATGCACTAGTAAAACAAGCATACTAAATCAAACGAAAAATAATATTACCATGGCATTTAGGGGTTAAAATAACAGTAAATTATTTTTGCATTAACAGCATGGGGTTTATTAAGGGGGATCCATGGAATTTTGTCACCCTTACATTACTTGTGTTCTGTCTCCGCTCCGCTCCGGTCCGACCTCCGCAGCAAATACGCACCCATTATAACCAATGAGAGTGTTTACATTGGCTGTGCACGGCTGCGCAGGGCGGCGGTGAGCGGACGGCGATTTGTCAAAATTAGAACAGATCCTATTTTTGCCAGATGCCGGACCAGCGCCGGAGTCAATTTTTAAAGACTACGTCGCACCAACAGGAAAAGAAATGATCACAACATCCGTATTTCCAAAAGAAGACACTATTCGGCGGAATAATTTGTCAGAATAATGTCGAAATTGCAGCTATATTAATAAATATACAGATATATTTCCACACAAATACTGTCAGAATGTATCGTTCTGTTTGGGAAGCAGATGGAAACATGTAGCATGAAGCATATGTTTACACACACGATACACGTGGATTTTATTTTGAAATCAGAAGTTTCAAAAAGACGACAGMGAGACAGTTTCAACATAGATACCAAAAGCCTTTACATCGTTGTTTTCAGCTGTGTTTGGAGTTCATCTTTGACAGAATTATTTTTTGCTGTGACTTCCTCATTTATCACTGAATTTATCGCGCGATCTGCTTCCTGCAYGTCTGTCGGACCGGAGCGAAGCGGAGGTAGTGTAAACTGGACTTGAAACKGTGCAGCTGCGACCTGCGCAGCGGAGCGGAGCGGAGACGGAACGCAAGTAATGTAAATCCGGGGTAAGGGGTCTCCAGACCCAAAAAGTTTGAAAACTATCTGGAATTGGACTGATCCATAATCAGGTATACTCGTCAACTCTGTAAATTTCAGCAACATCTCTTCAGTGGTTTGTGAGATATTTTGCAGAGTTGAACATTTTAAGCACGCCACGTTAAACAYATCAGTTTGTTTGTAGAAGTTGGGCATCAGCTACTACGTTACCAAAATTTAGCTCAGTGTCTGTAACATTTACTGATTTATAATATTTTTTGTCTTTAAGAAACTGCTTCATTGTGGCGGCCATCTTGGAATGTTTACTCTTTACGTGCATTTATTGATTCWGAGAATTTYGTTAAAAACCATCWAGTGGTTCATGAGATGTTCTGATAGATCTACAGATGGTGATTTCTTTCTGATAATTTGTTACAATGTGTTCACTGGTCCCTGTGATATTTTGCAAACACTACAGGGAGACTGTGTAATTTTTAAGGTTTGTTTAAAATAGCTGTAAATCCGAATCTTCTCATCACAAGTTGATCTTAGTTTGAAACTCTGGCATGAAAAGAGGCATTCCTTTGAGAACTGTTGGGC